CCGGTACTATAGGTCAGACCCCTTTACTACCGGTTCGTGGCACAAACCGGTACTAAAGGTTAGCCCTTTAGTACCGGTTTGTGCCACGAACCGGTACTAAAGATGATCGTAGGGCCCCAGCCTGACGCCAGCCTGCCATCACCCCTTTAGTACCGGTTCGTGGCACGAACCAGTACTAAAGGTTCAACACGAACCGGCATTAATGCATAGTCATTCGAACCGACACTAATGGTACCATTAGTGCCGGCTCAAATTCAAACCGGCACTAATGTGCTTCACGTTTGACCCCTTTTCTACTAGTGTCCATACCGAGTCCCATGTATAAGATGGGTTTGAAGCTCCAGCCGTTGATTCCAGCTTGTGCCCAAATTGAAATTCCCATTCTGTATGGTATGCAGATCGCACCATGAAAGTCCCTGACTTTGTCATGTTCCATGCCAGGAAATCTGTCATCTCATGTAATGCTAGTGGAATGGCCAAAATCCTTCGAACATCCACTTGCCAGAACGTTTGGTTAACCAGCTGCTCATCCCAACTCCCTGTCACCGGATCAATGAGGTCAGAAACTCTAGAAAGAAGATTGTTGCCCCTTGGTGAAATCACCTTTCTTGTTAGGCTATGAGGTATCCAGGGATCATCCCATATGCTAATTTTCTCACCATCACCAACTCTCCAAATATACCCACGTCTGAGCGTATCAACTCCAGCCATAATACTCTGCCATGTATATGAAGCCTTCTTTTTTAAAGTTGCATTCAAGAGATCTCCATCAGGAAAATATTTCGCCTTAAGGATCAACGCACACAAAGAGTCCGGGTTGTCAATAAGGCGCCATGCCTGTTTTGCCAGAAGTACAAGATTAAAGCAGTGAATATCTCTGAAGCCCATACCCCCTTCTTTCTTGGGAATACACATCTTCCACCATGCAAACCAGTGCATCCTCTTATGAGTTGTGTCATCACCCCACCAAAAACGAGATATCACATTTGTGATTCCTTTACAAATTTTCTTAGGAATTTGAAAGACCGACATCGCATAAGTTGGTATTGCTTGAGCAACAGACTTAATAAGAACTTCTTTCCTCCTGAAGAGAGACACTTCTCCTTCCACCCCGTAAGCTTCATAATTAACAGATCTATTAGATATTGAAAACTGTCATTTTTATCAAGTCCAAGAGTAGCAGGCAGTCCCAGATACTTGTCATTTAAGGCCTCGGTCATGATATTCAGACAAGAGCAAATCCGAGCCTTCATATTTACCTCGGTGCTGGGGCTAAAAAAGATACTTGATTTGTCAACACTAACAAGTTGCCCGGACGCAGCACAATATAAATCCAGAATTGATCTCAAGCACATTGAATTCTGAATATTAGCTTTCATCAAAATTAATGAATCATCAGCTTTGATTTGAGCGGTCTGGACCTGTTCCATGTATTCGTCGTTTACATCTTTCAAAAGTCAACTCTTTTACCAAGGACGAGCAGGTGAATTGGTTCTGGCACACCCACTCGAAGGCCACCAGCTCCTGGATGCCCACAGCCGACTAGCCCATCGCTAAGAGAGGTGAAAATTAGAGTTCTTACTATCAGTGAACCATGCTATTGGACTCTGAGACAACCAAATAGCTCAAAAGATTTACCTGCTACGATGCGAGATAAATAATAAGAACTGTAGTTGGCTCGGTCAATCTGCGGGACAGGAGAGCGGCGCACCACAGATCGTGATCCCCCGGCCAACAACGCACCCAAGATTTCGGCAACAAAATGCAAGCTGGCTCGATCTGAACTGTGGAACAACAATAGATCAAGAACTCGCTCAGAGCAAAAAAGCACGCACTTCCAATCAAAAGCTTAACCCAAGGGAGAGAAGAGAAAAGGCCAAACCTTGACAGAAATCAACAACCACTTCTTGTTCAGCCGCGATGAAGAACGGAGTCGCCGGAGATAGCACACCAAGAAAAGGGAACAAGACTAGCTGGTGCAGATGGACAGAGGACAACCAAGTAAGGCTGAGCAGTGAGGCAAGTTGTGTCTATTTTATGGTTGATGAGTTGGTTACATTTTTAACAGAGAAAGCAACACCTACCGGTAGCACTGCACGAGTAGTATATAATATGATGCTGCACTGAAGGATTGGTCATTTGTTCTCTTATTAAGGTGGCTGGCCTCGAAATTGTTTCTTCACAGGAGGTGCTCACTTATTTTTCATGGATGGCGGTGTCGTCCTTCCATATCTGTTGCGTTTTATGGGTGGTTAGTGACTTAAAATAACACTCTCTTGGGTTGCCTGCAGGTGCTGAACCAATCAGCAGAGATCAACTAATCACCCAGTTCAGCACTGATGATTGTTTCTTATAGGAGTGAGATGTTAAGCTGATAATGGAGACAGCGATAGTTGAACAGTCTGTAGGTAAATAAGATTACCTGCTGCGATGCCAGGTGAATAAGAACTGTAGTTGGCTCGGTCGCTCTGCAGGTAAATAAGACTTCCACAATCAAATGCAAGCTGGCTGGATCTCAAGTCTGGAACAACAATAATACTCCCTCCGTTCCTAAATGTAAGTCTTTTTAGAGATTCCACTACAAACCACATACGGATGTATATAGACATATTTTAGAGCGTGGATTCACTCATTTTGCTCCGTACGTAGTCCATAGTGGAATCTCTAAAAAGACTTATATTTAAGAACGGAGGGAGTAGATAAGAACTCAGTCAGACTAATGGTTGTGATGCACATACAGCAATGCGGACTGCAGACTGGCTTCAAAGTAAATTTCAGATAACCAATCCTATTCTGTTTTTTTTCAGTGTGTCTCAGGGATATATGTACTCACTCTGTAAAGAAATATAAGAGCGTTTAGATCACTAAGATTTAGTGATCTAAACGCTCTTATATTTCTTTAAGGAGGGAATACTACAGTTTGCCGCTCCTTACGGCTTAAGCGCGCCGACAGATCTTCATGCTAACTGGTATCGGCCTATCGACCATTATAGTCTTGTACCTGAAAACACATCTATTGGCTTCTGGCAGTGTCCTACAGTTCAACTACTTATTTGTATGTACTCCTGAAGAAACTTCCTGCCAAATCAAGGTGAAATTGCACAATTGGCGGTGCTAAACACGGCCCCGTTCTTCCGTGTTTTGACAATTTTGTTGAAAGCAGTGGGGATCCCCCCTCTAGGACAAATTATCTTACTGCTTGTTTCCGCAACAGCTCCAGCGCATAACTAGGTCTTTAGCTTCACACCACAAGCTAGATTCATTCACCAAAATCCTGCATATAAGTGGACTGGAGGAGACTTTTTTGTTTAACTAGGCAATGCCCAATTTTCATTACCAAGACAACAAAAACAATGTATGTATAAAGAAAAACAAAATAGGCATTCAAGTTCGATGCACGCCAGGAAAACCCACTAGTTGTACGGCTTGTAATAACACAACCTATGGGACAAAAAACCTGGCGCAACAATCGATCGTTCAAGCTAAGTTCAGGAAGTACAAATCATGCAGTTATACACATTACAATGTATAAGTGTGAGGACACGTTGAAGGCTGCACGCGCCAAGCTGGCGTTGCCTCATCATCTTTGCATCGTAGTGCAGGCATATCCACCTGATCGGTTGACTCCTGCTCACTGCTCCCTGCCCCTGCATGATTGGCACAGAATGACTAAAATGTTTGGGTTCAGAAGAAGGCCGGAAGAAGAAATAAGCAAATACAAACCTGGGCCGGTGTTGTCCACTTGCCGGGCAGGTGCTCGTGCAGCTTCCGTAGTAGTAGGTCGATCCTCCCTCGTGACTTTCAAATGATTTGGATATTCTTTGGCCACCTCACACACCTGGTCAAATATAGACTCTATAACGACGCTGAAGAACTCAACTTCTCTTAGCTTTGGCAGCTTTTTTTTTCCAATTCCATTAACGCCTCCACGAGGCACCCTCGGGAAATACAATGTCAGCCTCTCAAGATTAGGTGCACCCCCACGGAAGCTGAGCTCCTCAAGCTGTTCCAGATTATCCACGGCCAATTGCTTCAGCTGGGGAAACCAGCCCTCTTCAAATAAGGCCCTCCCCGTATATCCCTTATCGTATAACTTGAGAGAAACAAGACTGGGGAGCTTCGCTAGAACCTCAAAAGAATCCTTGGCCAATTGGTAAGTCTGTCGAAGCGACAGACTGGCCAAGTTACTGAGCGAAGAAACCCAGCCAGGCAGCCTAGTTAGCCGTCCCACCAAATGCAGGCTCTGCAGAGACAGAGGGGGATTCTTCAGGTATGCTAAAAATTTCAGCTCCTCGACTTGCTCTGAATCGTCCACAACCATTAGATAGCGAAGAGAGTTGCTAAACTCATCCAAAGACTTAGCAAAGGGTTTCCAAAGCTTTGCTTCCTTCCTGTTGACTACACAAAGTCTGGTTAACTGATGCAATTTTCCCAGCTCACCCATTGCATTCGAGCTTTTTTCTGTAGAGATGTCTACATGAGAGATTCTCTGGAGGGCACCCATATTCCCTAATCCAAGTGGTACCTTCGCTCCATCATTCCACCAAAAATGCTTCACACTTTGTGTCCTTGTGTAATATGCATAACGGCCTACAAGTAGATGATTCAGATTCTGGAGCCGAGTAATGCCTTTGGGAAATTCGAGGACAGAAGTTTCCCTCACATCCAGTGTCACCAATTCTTTAAGTTTCCCTACTGCATTTGGTAGTTGGGATATGGCTGTGTTTCTAAGGCTGAGGTATCTCAGCAGAGACAGTTTGCAAATGTCCTTGAGATCTTTATTCCTTAACCATCCACATCCTTCAAGATCTAAAACCCTCAAAAGTCTCAAATGAGAAAATTTGATGAGTACAGGTTTCTCAGTGCTGTTCAGAATTGTCAGTGAACGGGTATGGACTATGTTCTTACTGGAAAAAGTTCTCCTCTCCATGGTGCCACCAGAATGGATGGAGAGGCGCCGTACCTTGTCATGGCCTGATGTTGTGTTGCATTGATTGCTCCCTAGGAAAGAAATGAAATTTTCCTTGACAGATTTGGCAATGATAACTTCTAGCATTATGTCGTGGACTTTACAACTCTTAATCTTGCCACTCCAGCCAATCTGTTCAGGGCTGACGATGTTTCTACTAACAAACTCGTCCAAATAAATCTGAGCAATCTATTCCAAACTGCGGCCATACATTCCAATGATTAAGCCTTCGGCTGCCCACCGTCTAATAAGAGAGCCTCTTCTGATCTCAAAATCCTCAGGGAAAGCACACAGGTATAATAAACATGCTTTCAGATGGTACGGCAGATCATTGTAGCTGAGAGAAAGTATCCGTTTCATTCCCTCCAAAGTGGGGTTTGTCTCCAGTTCAGAACCCAGCCTATCACATACTGTTTTCCATTCTGCTGATGTCTTGTTTTGCCTTCGAGCTAGCATTCGTCCTATGCTCACTATAGCTAGAGGCAGACCCTTGCACCTTGGCAATATGGCCTTGGGCATGTTCAGCAGGTCAGGTGGACATTCCTCTGACATGAATACCGTCTTGAAGAATAGCTGCTGTGAATCCTCTTCGGGTAAGGGCTTCATTTCATAGATGTCATCAGAAAAGGTGCAGCAATTTTTTGCTACCTCTTTACTGCGTGTAGTAATTATTATGCTGCCCTCATTATTATTATTGTTATCATGAGGAAAAGCTACCTTTAGCTGATCCCATGCAGCTGCTCGCCAAACATCGTCCAGAACGATCAGGTACCTAAAAAAATGACCCACATTCTTATGAGTAGGCTGGTAATAAAAATCGAGCAGGGACAGGGATTCCATGCTAGGACATGCAAGTGGGAGTTGTGTACTGGCTTGTTACTTGATACTCCTACCTAGTTGCCTATAATCTCATCTCATGCAAGTGGGAGTAATAAATTTGGTCCAAAAGCGAGGATGTAATAACCATACCTATCAATCCATCATATATTAGAAACTGTTAAGAAAGAAAAGCATCTAACCTCTAATTGATTGGTGATGTTCAGATGATGGTGCTTTTTCTAGTTTGAAAATTATCAAGTCAAGGCTGCGGAACAGAATAGAAGATGGATTTCTTGCTGATAGCTTGCCGCTACAAGTAGAATGAGAAATTGCAGCAAAAATAAAGTTATGATGACTTAACCGTTGATTTGAAAGCTAAGAAGCCTGAAAAGTGTATCTATAGCTATTGGTCATATTTAATCGTCTTTTGGTCAGTCTAGTCTCTAGTGTATTCAACTGTGGTTGTGGAGCACTGGATACTAGTACTTATCCAGAATTCCACGTATGTTAATTAAGATGCATATTTTGCTTCAGTTTGTGTTGTGAGAGTGTAAGACTGTGGGCTGCATGTCTTCATGCATATTTTGCTTTAAGTTTGAAACTGCCCTCCTGTTAGTTGCTTGTTATGCTCCGCCACTGGGAGGAGAGAATGGTGTGCGGGCGTTAGCGCACAGAAGAGGTTGTGACCTATTCGTGCTTGCGTGGCAGCCAAAAATGCTAGACGCACGGACTAGACCAACGGAAGTTTACAGATCAGCTGACTTGTCCAGTTTTAATTGGGCTAAATAACCTGCTCCTCCTAATTAACACCCCCCCTGATTTTAACTGGTGGGCTGGGCGCCCAGCCCGTAAACCCCCTGTAAATCGCCTGTTCATGTAGTCGATGGACACGCCAGATCTGTGCGTCATAGGCTACCTCATCAAGGAATTGATGGATATGGGCTAGTCCGGTGAGGCCTCTTTTCCCGCGCGTAAAGCACAGGATATTGAGCAATCATGCACCAGAGCACTGGTTTCACATGCCCATTCGTTAATTCGGGAACAGGAGGCTCGCCCAACCGTTTTAGAGTCTGGTATTTTTCAAAAACCAACTAAAATTGTTCTCAACTTTCGAAAGTGTTCACAAATTCAAAAAAACAAGAATTTCAATAAATGTTCACAAATTTAAAAAAATGATCATGAATTCAAAAAATGTTCTGAGATTTTAAAAAATGTCCAAATTTTTTAAAAATGAAACAAACAAAAGGAAATAATAGCAAATGGAAAAACCAAAGAAAAAACAATAAAAAAGAAGCACAGAAAAAAGAAGAAAAACCGGTCCAACTTCGTATGCTGGTTTTTTTTAGGGGTAATAGCCTTTTATTACTCGAAGTCCACAGAGAGTGGGATACAAGATTGATCGTGTGGTTGGCCAAGCCACACATGATGCCCTGGAACTAAAGATAAGGCGTGTTTAGCTAACTTGTGGGCTTCAACATTAGCCTCACGTTTTTCAAAAGTGAACTTACTAGTAGGAGATACTCTATGTCTAATCTCTCTAATAACAGCACCATAAAAACCTTGACCGCCTTTGACTAGCTCTTCAACCACTTGCTTACAGTCGGATGCCACGATGTAGTTATGTTGATTGAGATCTTCAGCAAGTGCCACTGCTTCACGGCACGCAATTGCTTCCAACGTTGGAGCGTCCCAAACTCCAGCTATAACGAGAGCAGAACTTCCCAAGAATGCCCCCTGGTTATCTCTGCATATGGCCACGGCTGAGCCTCCTCTCTGCATCCGTGTGCCCGCGTCTACATGAATCTTGACATAGCCTGCCGGTGGCGCCCTGGGGCGCGCCACCGTATTCCTTGCCGACGGCGCCTGCACTTGCCTCTTGGGTTTCCTAAGCACATCAAGGTCTCTCATGTACCTAGTTATAAACGCTGAGATCGCATGTGGGGTTTGAAATATACCCTCATGAATAGCTTTCCTCCTCGATGTCCATATAGCCCATAGTGTCACTGCAGCCAAGGTGAACTGGCCGTGTGAGAGGGATTCCATCAAATTAAAGAGCCAACTCTTGGCTCGGCTCTCATCTGTGGCTATGATAGTACTGCCCACTTCATCATCCACGATCGCCCAAGTGCATCTTGAGACAGTGCAATCAAGGAGGCTATGGCGCCAAGAGTCCGGAGCTCCACATACTCCGCAAGTGCTTGTCGTAGACATTTTCCGGTGTGCCCTCACGTCTTCTGTCGGTAACGACTGCTTCGAAAGTCTCCATAGGAACATACGAACCTTGGATGGCACCTCCGTCTTCCACAGGAACTTCCAAGAACTGGAATCTGCATGAGAGGTTGAGGACCCCGGTACCCCTTCCAGCCAGGCTTCTCGTCGTTGCGTCGTCGAGACCAACATATTGTATGCTGAACGCACGGTGAACTGGCCAGATCGCTCATGCGCCCAACTCCAAAAATCCTGCATGGGTGTCGTGGGCAAAGGAATTGAGAGGATTAACTTGGCGTCGAAAGCTAGGAAAGTGGCATTGATCTTTGGTCTATCCCATGCTGCACTTGTATGATCTATCAACTCTGACACTGTACTTGGTGGTATAGTAGATAGGCAACCATAAGGTCTCATCATCTCCGGGCGAGGGAGCCAGTTTTCGGACCAAATGTCCGTGCTTTCTCCGTTCCCAATGCGCTTGATTAGACCCAACTTTAGTATATCACGTCCCTCCACTAGAGCTCTCCAAATCTGGCTTGGATGACTCCCAAGCGGCGCTTCAAGAATGCTGGAATCAGGGAAGTAGATGCTCTTCAAAATGCGTGCGCTGAGTGAATGAGGATCCTGTAGCATACGCCAAACTTGACGGGCCAGCATAGCTAGATTAAACAGCTCAAAATCTTTGAATCCCAGGCCTCCCATGCTCTTTGGTTGGGTCATCGCCTTCCAAGAGACCCAGTGTGGCTTGCGTTGCCCGTTCTTGCTTCCCCACCAAAACTTCCTAATCAACTTGTTGAGATGCTCACATAAACCCCTTGGCAATTTGAAGCACGACATAGAAAATACTGGGATTGCTTGAGCCACCGCTTTGACCAACACTTCCTTGCCCGCGAAGGACATAGTTCTCTCAACCCATCCTTGGATCTTATTCCACAGTCTGTCCTTCAAATACTTGAACGCGCCATTCTTGGAGGCTCCAACGTCCGTTGGCATGCCTAAGTATTTCTCATTCAGAGTTTCATTGGGGACGTTCAGGGTGATTTTGATCTCATTCTGAACCGCCTCGGGGACACCTTTACTGAAGAATATAGAGGACTTGTCAAAATTTATTCGCTGGCCTGAAGCAGTACAATATATATCCAGCACTTGGTTCACCTCGGTAGCTCCCACACCGTTTGCCTTGAAGAACAGCAGGTTGTCATCAGTGAATAGAAGGTGGTTAACTAGTGGCGCCGTAGGAGCCACTTGTATCCCACCCAAATTGGATGACTCTCTTTGTGATTTTAACAGGCACGACAGGCCCTCTGCTGCTAACAAGAACAAGTATGGAGATATCGGGTCCCCTTGTCGGATACCACATGAGGGGCAAAACTGCTCAAGCTTTTTACCATTGAACAAGACAGAAAATTTCACTGAAGATACCATATTCATAACAATATCCACCCATCTTGGAGTGAATCCCAGCTTCAGCATTACAGCCCGGAGGTAGTCCCATTCAACTCTGTCATAGGCCTTCATCATATCTAGCTTGAGAGCACAGTACTGATGTTTTTTGGCCTTATTCCTCTTCATGAAGTGCAGGCACTCATAGGCTGTTATGATATTATTTGTAATTAATCTGCCAGGTACAAAGGCTGACTGCTCCGGTGAGATAATATCTGGAAGTATTTGTTTGAGACGGTTGGATATTACCTTAGACGCGATCTTATAGAGAACATTGCAAAGACTGATTGGCCTGAACTACTTGAGTAACGTTAGGTTTTTTACCTTGGGAATGAGCACTAAGATTGTGTCGTTGATACAGGCTGCTGACTCGGTGCCGTCAACTATTTTGAGTATCACTTTCGTGACCTCTTCTCCGCAAACTTCCCAATGACGCTGAAAAAAGTGAGCTGGGTATCCATCCGGGCCAGGAGCCTTAATTGGGAATATTTGGAATAAGGCACATTTGACCTCCTCATGGGTGTATGGCGCATTCAGGATATCATTCATCTCAGATGTTACCTTTGTTGGGACATGCCGCAGAACTTCATCCATGTTATGCACCCCTTCCGACGTGTACAATTCTTTGTAGTATGCCGTTGTCAACTCCTCCATCCCGGCTGGATCCTCAATTACTTGCCCCTGCTCATCTTGCAATGATTTGATTTTATTTTTGCGCCGTCTCCTGCTTGCCCGCAAATGGAAGAAATACGTGTTTTTGTCCCCATGAACTAACCATTCCACTCGCGCTCTTTGTCGCCATAGCATTTCCTCCCGGTGAAAGAGCTCCACCAACATATCAGTGATTTTTGTCTCCTCCCTGGTGGGGCCGGATCTGCCTGGGGTAACGCGCAGGAGTTGTAGCTGTACCTTTAGTTGTGATATCTGCTGCCGAACCGATCCAAAGTTTTGCCGATCCCAAACTGCCAGGTCACCCGCCAGGTCTCCCAGTTTTCCGTGCAATGAATGCACATCCCCTCCGTCCTGCATGCTCCGTCTGCCCGCAACCGTGGTGAAGAGGGATTCCTCTCTCTCTCCTACATAGTTTCATATTTAAAGGTCCTGGGCCCCTCCCTGTATGCATGTGTGTTACGTAACGTGAGGAGAATTGGACAATGATCAGAGCCGGCTGCCGTCTTGTGATGCAACGTAGAATCTGGCAGCGCTAGCAACCATTCCGGGTTAGCCAGGCATCTGTCGAGCCGTACTCTAGTGTAGGTACCCCCAGCAACCTTTTTTCAAAAGTCCAATCTGTACCCGTATATCCTATGTCAGACAATCCACAAGTGTCCACTGCTTCACGAAAGCCATCTATCTGTGCTTGGCTATGGCTTCCCACGCCAACATGTTCGCTAAGATTCAGGACCTCATTGAAGTCACCAATGACCGCCCATGGCCTGTTTTGCGTCTCGGATATGTTCTTGAGGGTATCCCATGTGTTTTGCCTATTAGGTACCTGCGCCTCCCCATAGACAAAGCAGATTCTGACCTGTATATCAACCATATTGTCAACTAGGGCATCAATATGATACCGCGAATAACCGAGAATTTGCACTTTTATTTCATCATTCCAAAAGATACAAAGACCACCGCTACGTCCAGAGCTACTAACTGCAAAACTTTTATTAAAACCTAAACCTTCCGCTAACTGTTCTACCCTCGATCCTTCTAATTGTGTTTCAAGAATACAGAGGATTGAGGGGGCAAACTGCCTCGCAAGAGTGTGAAGCTCCCGAACTGTCGCGGCTTTGCCAATTCCGCGACAGTTCTAGCACAGGAGACTCATTGCGCTGGGCGAACCCCTCCCTGGGGGTTCGCCAAACGCGCATCAGTAGTTTTGCTGGATATTGCACTCTTTGCCATGTTTGTTTCAGCAGTGGAAGGACTCAATTTATTTCTCTTTGTCTCCTGCTTGGGTGTCGGGATCGAAGGGACCGGAGGTGGCATCGCTAGCAGGTTTTTGTTTGCCAGGATGGACTGTTGCGGTTGTGCTAGTTTGTCCAATGGGCCGGCCCATATAGCCGTGCAAGCATGCCGGAGGGTCGACATTCTGCCACCTAACGCATGGAATAGGAAAACCTTAGTTTGGCTGTCGTTCTTATCCCCCTCCCTCCCTCTCTTAAGATGGGCTAGACTGGGCTGCGAGCTTCCAGGCAGGATCGAGTCCGATCTTGGCACGAAGCACAAACGAGCGTACCAAGTCAAGTTGGCTCGGCCTATTTTCTTCTTGGGGCAGAGCTACAGCGAGCTCCGAGCCATGCCTACAAGCTCCCTAGGCCAATCCAACCCTATAGATGGATGCCTTCATTGAAATGGAGGAACAACATGATGAAGAGAGGGGGGGATGTGATCATTTCTCATTCACTTGAGAGTAGAGCTGGCAGAAAACATGACGGAGGTGCAAATATGTAAATAATGCTAATGGAGCTTCAATTTTTGTGTATACTGAAATAAAGTAAGTAGAGATTCTTGTAATTGGTGAAAAGCTGTAAATCGTCCCATTTTAAACTTGGTCAGATTTAAAGAAGTTTCACTTGAAGACAAAACTATAACATCTTTATATTTTTGAAACAGAGGGAGTATATGGCATAAGAGCAAACTAATTAAACGAGATAATAGTAATAAAAGTGGTTAACTACATACCTCCTATGCTTCATGAAGGAAATATGCCCTAGAGGCAATAATAAAGTTATTATTTATTTCCTTATATATCATGATAAAAGTTTATTATTCATGCTAGAATTGTATTAAACCGGAAACACAATACATGTGTGAATACATAGACAAACAGAGTGTCACTAGTATGCCTCTACTAGACTAGCTTGTGAATCAAAGATGGTTATGTTTCCTAACAATGGACAAAGAGTTGTCATTTGATTAACAGGATCACATCATTAGTTGAATGATCTGATTGACATGACCCATTCCATTAGCTTAGCACCCGATCGTTTAGTATGTTGCTATTGCTTTCTTCATGACTTATACATGTTCCTATGACTATGAGATTATGCAACTCCCGTTTGCCAGAGGAACACTTTGTGTGCTACCAAACATCACAACGTAACTGGGTGATTATAAAGGAGCTCTACAGGTGTCTCCAAAGGTACATGTTGGGTTGGCGTATTTCGAGATTAGGATTTGTCACTCCGATTGTCGGAGAGGTATCTCTGGGCCCTCTCGGTAATGCACATCACTTAAGCCTTGCAAGCATTGCAACTAATGAGTTAGTTGCGGGATGATGTATTACAGAACGAGTAAAGAGACTTGCCGGTAACGAGATTGAACTAGGTATGGGATACCGACGATCGAATCTCGGGCAAGTAACATACTGATGACAAAGGGAACAACGTATGTTGTTATGCGGTCTGACCGATAAAAGATCTTCGTAGAATATGTAGGAGCCAATATGAGCATCCAGGTTCCGCTATTGGTTATTGACCGGAGACGTGTCTCGGTCATGTCTACATTGTTCTCGAACCCGTAGGGTCCGCACGCTTAATGTTACGATGACAGTTATATTATGAGTTTATGCATTTTGATGTACCGAAGGTTGTTCGGAGTCCCGGATGTGATCACGGACATGATGAGGAGTCTCTAAATGGTCGATACATAAAGATTGATATATTGGAAGCCTATGTTTGGATATCGGAAGTGTTCCGGGTGAAATCGGGATTTTACCGGAGTACCGGGAGGTTACCGGAACCCCCCGGGAGGTATATGGGCCTTAGTGGGCCTTAGTGGAAGAAGAGAAGAGGCAGCCAGGGCTGGGCCGCGCGCCCCTCCACCCCTAGTCCGAATAGGACAAGGAGAGAGGGGGCCGGTGCCCCCCTCCTTCTCTCTCTCTCTTTTCCCACTCCACGAATCCTATTCCAACTAGGAAAGGGGGGGAGTCCTACTCCCAGAAGGAGTAGGACTCCTCCTGGCGCGCCACACCTTGGCCGGACGGCCCCCCTCCGTTGAACCTTTATATACGGAGGCAGGGGCACCCCTAGAGACACAAGTTGATCCACGTGATCATATTCTTAGCCGTGTGCGGTGCCCCCTTCCACCATAGTCCTCGATAATATTGTAGCGGTGCTTAGGCGAAGCCCTGCGACAGTAGTACATCAAGATCGTCACCACGCCGTCGTGCTGACGGAACTCTTCCCCGACACTTTGCTGGATCGGAGTCCGGGGATCGTCATCGAGCTGAACGTGTGCTAGAACTCGGAGGTGTCGTAGTATCGGTGCTTGATCGGTCGGGCCGTGGAGACGTACGACTACATCAACCAAACGCTTCCGTTATCGATCTACAAGGGTACGTAGATCACACTCTCCCCCTCTCGTTGCTATGCATCACCATGATCTTGCGTGTGCGTAGGATTATTTTTTTTTGAAATTACTACATAACCCATCAGTGGCATCCGAGCCTAGGTTTTATATGTTGATGTTATATGCATGAGTAGAACACAAGTGAGTTGTGGGCGATATAAGTCATACTGCTTACCAACATGTCATACTTTGGTTCGGCGGTATTGTTGGACGAAGCGGCCCGGACCGACATTACGCGTACGCTTACGCAAGACCGGTTCTCCCGACGTGCTTTGCACATAGGTGGCTTGCGGGTGACAGTTTCTCCAACTTTAGTTGAACCGAGTGTGGCTACGCCCGGTCCTTGCGAAGGTTAAAACAACACCAACTTGACAAACTATCGTTGTGGTTTTGATGCATAGGTAAGATAGGTTCTTGCTTAAGCCCGTAGCAGCCACGTAAAACATGCAACAACAAAGTAGAGGACGTCTAACTTGTTTTTGCAGGGCATGTTGTGATGTGATATGGTCAAGACATGATGCTAAATTTTATTGTATGAGATGATCATGTTTTGTAACCGAGTTATCGGCAACTGGCAGGAGCCATATGGTTGTCGCTTTATTGTATGCAATGCAATCGCGCTGTAATGCTTTACTTTATCACTAAGCGGTAGCGATAGTCGTGGAAGCATAAGATTGGCGAGACGACAACGATGCTACGATGGAGATCAAGGTGTCGCGCCGGTGACGATGGTGATCATGACGGTGCTTCGGAGATGGAGATCACAAGCACAAGATGATGATGGCCATATCATATCACTTATATTGATTGCATGTGATGTTTATCTTTTATGCATCTTATCTTGCTTTGATTGACGGTAGCATTATAAGGTGATCTCTCACTAAATTATCAAGAAGTGTTCTCCCTGAGTATGCACCGTTGCGAAAGTTCTTCGTGCTGAGACACCACGTGATGATCGGATGTGATAGGCTCTACGTTCAAATACAACGGGTGCAAAACAATTGCACACACGGAATACTCAGGTTATACTTGACGAGCCAAGCATATACAGATATGGCCTCGGAACACGGAGACCGAAAGGTCGAGCGTGAATCATATAGTAGATATGATCAACATAGTGATGTTCACCAATGAAACTACTCCATCTCACGTGATGATCGGACATGGTTTAGTTGATTTGGATCACATAATCACTTAGAGGATTAGAGGGATGTCTATCTAAGTGGGAGTTCTTTAAGTAATATGATTAATTGAACTTAAAATTATCATGAACTTAGTACCTGATAGTATCTTGCTTGTTTATGTATGATTGTAGATAAATGGCCCGTGTTGTTGTTCCGTTGAATTTTAATGTGTTCCTTGAGAAAGCAAAGTTGAAAGATGATGGTAGCAATTACACGGACTGGGTCCGTAACTTGAGGATTATCCTCATTGCTGCACAGAAGAATTACGTCCTGGAAGCACCGCTGGGTGCCAGGCCTGCTGCTAGAGCAACACCAGATGTTGTGAACGTCTGGCAGAGCAAAGCTGATGACTACTCGATAGTTCAGTGTGCCATGCTTTACGGCTTAGAACCGGGACTTCAATGATGTTTTGAACATCATGGAGCATATGAGATGTTCCAGGAGTTGAAGTTAATATTTCAAGCAAATGCCCGGATTGAGAGATATGAAGTCTCCAATAAGTTCTATAGCTGCAAGATGGAGGAGAACAGTTCTGTCAGTGAGCATATACTCAAAATGTCTGGGTATAATAATCACTTGATTCAAATGGGAGTTAATCTTCCAGATGATTGTGTCATTGACAGAATTCTCCAATCACTGCCACCAAGCTACAAGAGCTTCATGATGAACTATAATATGCAAGGGATGAATAAGACTATTCCTGAGCTCTTCGCAATGCTTAAAGCTGCGGAGGTAGAAATCAAAAAGGAGCATCAAGTGTTGATGGTCAACAAGACCACTAGTTTTAAGAAAAAGGGCAAAGGGAAGAAGAAGGGGAACTTCAAGAAGAACAACAAGCAAGTTGCTGCTCAAGAGAAGAAACCCAAGTCTGGACCTAAGCCTGAAACTGAGTGCTTCTACTACAAGCAGACTGGTCACTGGAAGCGGAACTGCCCCAAGTATTTGGCGGATAAGAAGGATGGCAAGGTGAACAAAGGTATATGTGATATACATGTTATTGATGTGTACCTTACTAATGCTCGCAGTAGCACCTGGGTATTTGATACTGGTTCTGTTGCTAATATTTGCAACTCGAAACAGGGACTGCGGGTAAAGCGAAGATTGGCTAAGGACGAGGTGATGATGCGCGTGGGAAACGGTTCCAAAGTCGATGTGATCGCAGTCGGCACGCTACCTCTACATCTACCTTCGGGATTAATATTAGACCTAAATAATTGTTATTTGGTGCCAGCGTTAAGCATGAACATTATATCTGGATCTTGTTTGATGCGAGACGGTTATTCATTTAAATCAGAGAATAATGGTTGTTCTATTTATATGAGTAATATCTTTTATGGTCATGCACCCTTGAAGAGTGGTCTATTCTTATTGAATCTCGATAGTAGTAACACACATATTCATAATGTTGAAGCCAAAAGATGCAGAGTTGATAATGATAGTGCCTTATTTGTGGCACTGCCGTTTAGGTCATATCGGTGTAAAGCGCATGAAGAAACTCCATACTGATGGACTTTTGGAACCACTTGATTATGAATCACTTGGTACTTGCGAACCGTGCCTCATGGGCAAGATGACTAAAACGCCGTTCTCCGGTACTATGGAGAGAGCAACAGATTTGTTGGAAATCATACATACAAATGTCTGTGATCCGATGAATATTGAGGCTCGTGGCGGATATCGTTATTTTCTCACCTTCACAGATGACTTAAGAAAATATGGGTATATCTACTTAATGAAACATAAGTCTGAGTCATTTGAAAAGTTCAAAGAATTTCAGAGTGAAGTTGAAAATCATCGTAACAAGAAAATAAAGTTTCTACGATCTGATCGTGGAGGAGGATATTTGAGTTACGAGTTTGGTGTACATTTGAAACAATGCGGAATAGTTTCGCAACTCACGCCACCCGGAACACCACAGCGTAATGGTGTGTCCGAACGTCGTAATCGTACTTTACTAGATATGGTGCGATCTATGATGTCTCTTACTAATTTACCGCTATCATTTTGGGGTTATGCTTTGGAGACGACCGCATTCACGTTAAATAGGGCACCATCAAAATCCGTTGAGACGACGCCTTATGAACTATGGTTTGTCAAGAAACCAAAGTTGTCGTTTCTGAAAGTTTGGGGCTGCGATGCTTATGTGAAAAAGCTTCAACCTGATAAGCTCGAACCCAAATCGGAGAAATGTGTCTTCATAGGATATCCAAAGGAGACTATTGGATACACCTTCTATCACAGATCTGAAGGCAAGACTTTTGTTGCTAAGTTCAGAAACTTTCTAGAGAAGGAGTTTCTCTCGAAATAAGTGAGTGGGAGGAAAGTAGAACTTTACGAGGTAACTGTACCTGCTCCCTTATTGGAAAGTAGTGCATCACAAAAAATTGTTTCTGTGACACCTACACCAATTAGTGAGGAAGCTAATGATAATGATCATGAAACTTCAGAACAAGATACTACTGAACCTCGTAGATCAACCAGAGTAAGATCCGCACCAGAGTGGTACGGTAATCCTGTTCTGGAAGTCATGCTACTAGATCATGATGAACCTACGAACTATGAAGAAGCGATGGTGAGCCCAGATTCCGCAAAATGGCTTGAAGCCATGAAATCTGAGATGGGATCCATGTATGAGAACAAAGTGTGGACTTTGGTTGACTTGCCCAATGATCAGCAAGCAATTGAGAATAACTGGATCTTCAAGAAGAAGACTGACGCCGACGGTAATATTACTGTCTACAAAGCTCGACTTGTCGCAAAAGGGTTTCGGCAAGTTCAAGGGATTGACTACGATGAGACCTTCTCACCCGTAGCGATGCTTAAGTCTGTCCGAATCATGTTAGCAATTGCTGCATTTTATGATTATGAAATTTGGCAGATGGATGTCAAAACTGCATTCTTGAATGGATTTCTGGAAGGAGAGTTGTATATGATGCAACCGGAAGGTTTTGTCGATCTAAAGGGAGCTAACAAAGTGTGCAAGCTCCAGCGATCCATTTATGGACTGGTGCAAGCCTCTCGGAGTTGGAATAAACGCTTTGATAGTGTGATCAAAGCATTTGGTTTTATACAGACTTTTGGAGAAGCCTGTATTTACAAGAAAGTGAGTGGGAGCTCTGTAGCATTTCTGATATTATATGTGGATGACATATTACTGATTGGAAATTATATAGAATTTCTGGATAGCATAAAGGGATACTTGAATAAGAGTTTTTCAATGAAAGACCTCGGTGAAGCTGCTTACATATTAGGCATAAAGATCTATAGAGATAGATCAAGACGTTTAATTGGACTTTCACAAAGCACATACCTTGACAAGATTTGAAGAAGTTCAAAATGGATCGAGCAAAGAAAGGGTTCTTGCCTGTGTTACAAGGTGTGAAGTTGAGTCGGACTCAATGCCCGACCACTGCAGAAGATAGAGAGAAGATGAAAGATGTTCCCTATGCTTCAGCCATAGGCTCTATCATGTATGCAATGCTGTGTACCAGACCTGATGTGTGCCTTGCTATAAGTCTAGCAGGGAGGTACCAAAGTAATCCAGGAGTGGATCACTGGACAGCGGTCAAGAACATCCTGAAGTACCTGAAAAGGACTAAGGATATGTTTCTCGTATATGGAGGTGACAAAGAGCTCGTCGTAAACGGTTACGTTGATGCAAGCTTTGACACTGATCCGGAAGATTCTAAATCGCAAACCGGATACGTGTTTACATTAAACGGTGGAGCTGTCAGTTGGTGCAGTTCTAAACAAAGCATCGTGGCGGGATCTACGTGTGAAGCGGAATACATAGCTGCTTCGGAAGCAGCAAATGAAGGAGTCTGGATGAAGGAGTTCATATCCGATCTAGGTGTCGTACCTAGTGCATCGGGTCCAATGAAAATCTTTTGTGACAATACTGGTGCAATTGCCTTGGCGAAGGAATCCAGATTTCACAAGAGAACCAAGCACATCAAGAGACGCTTCAATTCCATCCGGGATCTAGTCTAGGTGGGAGACATAGAGATTTGCAAGATACATACGGATCTGAATGTTGCAGGCCCGTTGACTAAGCCTCTTCCATGAGCAAAACATGATCAGCACCAAGGCTCCATGGGTGTTAGAATCATTACTGTGTAATCTAGATTATTGACTCTAGTGCAAGTGGGAGACTGAAGGAAATATTCCCTAGAGGCAATAATAAAGTTATTATTTATTTCCTTATATATCATGATAAAAGTTTATTATTCATGCTAGAATTGTATTAAACCGGAAACACAATACATGTGTGAATACATAGACAAACAGAGTGTCACTAGTATGCCTCTACTAGACTAGCTTGTGAATCAAAGATGGTTATGTTTCCTAACAATGGACAAAGAGTTGTCATTTGATTAACAGGATCACATCATTAGTTGAATGATCTGATTGACATGACCCATTCCATTAGCTTAGCACCCGATCGTTTAGTATGTTGCTATTGCTTTCTTCATGACTTATACATGTTCCTATGACTATGAGATTATGCAACTCCCGTTTGCCAGAGGAACACTTTGTGTGCTACCAAACATCACAACGTAACTGGGTGATTATAAAGGAGCTCTACAGGTGTCTCCAAAGGTACATGTTGGGTTGGCGTATTTCGAGATTAGGATTTGTCACTCCGATTGTCGGAGAGGTATCTCTGGGCCCTCTCGGTAATGCACATCACTTAAGCCTTGCAAGCATTGCAACTAATGAGTTAGTTGCGGGATGATGTATTACAGAACGAGTAAAGAGACTTGCAGGTAACGAGATTGAACTAGGTATGGGATACCGACGATCGAATCTTGGGCAAGTAACATACCGATGACAAAGGGAACAACGTATGTTGTTATGCGGTCTGACCGATAAAAGATCTTCGTAGAATATGTAGGAGCCAATATGAGCATCCAGGTTCCGCTATTGGTTATTGACCGGAGACGTGTCTCGGTCATGTCTACATTGTTCTCGAACCCGTAGGGTCCACACGCTTAAGGTTACGATGACAGTTATATTATGAGTTTATGCATTTTGATGTATCGAAGGTTGTTCGGAGTCCCGGATGTGATCACGGACATGACGAGGAGTCTCGAAATGGTCGATACATAAAGATTGATATATTGGAAGCCTATGTTTGGATATCGGAAGTGTTCCGGGTGAAATAGGGATTTTACCGGAGTACTGGGAGGTTACCGGAACCCCCCGGGAGGTATATGGGCCTTAGTGGGCCTTAGTGGAAGAAGAGAAGAGGAAGCCAGGGCTGCGCCGCGCGCCCCTCCACCCCTAGTCCGAATAGGACAAGGAGAGAGGGGGCCGGCGCCCCCCTCCTTCTCTCTCTCTCTTTTCCCACTCCACGAATCCTATTCCAACTAGGAAAGGGGGGAGTCCTACTCCCAGAAGGAGTAGGACTCCTCCTGGCGCGCCACACCTTGGCCGGCCGGCCCCCCTCCCTTGAACCTTTATATACGGAGGCAGGGGCACCCCTAGAGACACAAGTTGATCCACGTGATCATATTCTTAGCCGTGTGTGGTGCCCCCTTCCACCATAGTCCTTGATAATATTGTAGCGGTGTTTAGGCGAAGCCCTGCGACAGTAGTACATCAAGATCGTCACCACGCCGTCGTGCTGACGGAACTCTTCCCCGACACTTTGCTGGATCAGAGTCCAGGGATCGTCATCGAGCTGAACGTGTGCTAGAACTCGGAGGTGCCGTAGTTTCGGTGCTTGATCGGTCGGGCCATGGAGACGTACGACTACATCAACCAAACGCTTTCGTTATCGATCTACAAGGGTACGTAGATCACACTCTCCCCCTCTCGTTGCTATGCATCACCATGATCTTGCGTGTGCGTAGGAATTTTTTTTTGAAATTACTACATAACCCATCACTTCAAACATTGTTTGATGCTGTCAACTAGTTTGCTTATTTTCCAGTCTTTAATGTTCTTGAGGGGATCATCATTTTTATCTTTGTCAGCTGAAGCCGAAATCTGCTTCAGCATGGACTCAAGAAGAGAACGAAGGTCGTATGTCTGGGACACCGGAATGAAAGCGCGGCACTGGATACCTCCCAACTCTGGGGTGTTGTAGACAGTCATCGCCAGGGTGGTCTTGCCGAGACCACCAAACCCCACTATGGACAGCACTCGAGGACTCACAGCCGCCTGGCGTTGCCCGTTGAGCAGCCCAACCACGGCATCAGTCATGTTGCCCATCCCGACTAGTAGGACTGGACGTACGAGCGAGCTTTCCGGCTCGGCCCGAAACTCGCTACAGCTCGGCCCATTACAGCTCAGCTTGACAGGTTAAATGAGCGGGCCCAGTTCTGAAAACAGGCCCGATTCGTGAGCGAGCCGAGCCGAGTTTCGGCCGGTCCAGCTCGGTGACTCGCTTGCAGCCCAGCCCAATCCATCCTCAATCTCCATCGCTCGGAGCCTCGCACGCATTAGGGCACGAGAGACGCAGAGACAGCGCTGCGTCGCCGCTTTCTCTGCTCTGCCTTCCCCTCGCCCCTTTCTCTCCCCTGCACCGCAAGCTGGATCGGCGATGACGAGGGACGCCCTGTTTCCTCACCACTCTGATAGCAACGGGCTCGACGGCAACGGGCGGTGCCACCTCTCCTCACCACAGCAAATGCAGACGGACGCGCCTCCCCTGGTTTCTCGCCGAACGTGATGAGCACGAGCAGGTACCTCCTTCCTTTCCTATCTCTAGCCGCAGCTCTCTGAACTAGTACGTGTGTGATGGATCAATGGATGGATGGATCGATGGATGTGCTCATGTGGTTGTTCCTTCCCAAACCCTAGCCATAGGTGTCTAAACTAGCATGCATGATGCATCTGATTTATTGATGGATGCATGGATGGATCGATGGATGTAGTCATGTAGATGTAGGGCTAGATGGATGGATCATGGATGGATGTATTATAGCCTGTAGAGCTAGATGTAGCAGATTCGGATGGATGGATCATGGATGGATGGAGTTGTAGGGTAGAATGGATGGATAGATCAAAATTTTCATTGATTCCATGTGTAATTAGTTTTCTGCTGTTGATGATCTACTTGATGTAGCATAGCAGCTTGGAAAAAAATCTACTTGCTTGGAAAATTACATTGACTCCATATGTAATTAGTTTACTGTTGTTGATGATTGACTGTTTGTTGTTTGCTCATGTGTGGAGACGCCTATCGTCGCAACAATGGACAAGGAAAAGAGGAAGGCGAATGGGAAAGAGAAGGAGAAAGAGAGGACCTTGGACTCCATTATGAAGAGCAAGGTGCCGGTCTCGGGGATGCAGAAGGGGAATGGGAAGGGCAATGCAACAGCTACTATGCGGCTGCCGAGGAAGCTCGCAAATGATTGCAGCAATACCCCAATCGCTGAGTTGTTGTATAGGGTAAAAAAGAAACCTCCGCCTCGACGTCTCCCTGACCCCACCGGCGCTGGTGTGCGTGCCGCAATCACCGCTGCCTCCGGCTTCGCAAACTACTATGAGAGGGAGGCTACATCTTCCCAGGTATGTATATGCCAAATATATATTTGTGCAAGCTCATGTATGTGCTGTTTTTTGCTTTTTGAAAGTCAAATTTATGTGTGCCCATGCTCATATGTGCTGTTTTTGGTACCCAAATGTCAAATATATGTTTGTGCAAGCTCATGTGTGTGCTCTTTTTGGTATCCAAATGTCAAATATATGTTTGTGCAAGCTCATGTGTGTGCTGTTTTTGCTATCCAAAAGTCAAATATATGTTTGTGCAAGCTCATGGGTGTGCTGTTTTTGCTATACAAATGTCAAATATATGTGTGTCCAAGCTCATGTGTGTGTTGTTTTTGTGTGCTAGGCAATGGAGCATGATAAGCAAGCGGAGGAGGATCATGAAGAGGTGGAAGAGGATGAGGAGGAGGACAAGGAAGAGCAAGATACTTTGTTTGAGGTGCCGCCCGGGGCTGGTGACAAATCAGATTCGGATGGGTTTGTGGATAGTGAAGAAGAAGCCTTCGAAGGTGATGACATGTCCGAGGATGGTCTAGGCCTTGGTCCTACGCCTCAAGAGCAAGAAACTGTACTTCTTAGTTCGAGTGAGGATGAAGCAAGAAAAGTCCAACGAAAGAGTGCCAAGAAGCGAAAAGGTCAAGCTCCTTCGAGGTTGAGGTCGGCGGTTTGGACCTTCTTTCATAAGGTAGAGGTGCCATCGAAAGAAGGTTTGATGGAGTTGAAGGCACAATGTAATTATTGTGACAATCAATATGCATATGTCCAAGGTGGAAGCACCTCATCCATGGGAAGACATATGGACACATGTAAGAATTACAAGGACAAGGTTAATAGGGATCTCATCCAAGCTACTCTATTTTTTAGAAAAACCAATGCAACAAGTGGTCCAGCTGTCCAATTCATTGAGTATGATAAGGACCTCATAAAGGAGGTCATGGCAAAGATGATTTGCGTCCATGAGTACTCATTTAGAATGGTTGAACATAAATGGTTCAACATTCTCATGAAGTGCTTGAATCCAAACTATCAACCCATTGGAAGGAAGGCAATAAGAGCTGAATGCATGAGGGTTTTCAAGAAAGAAAGGGAGTTGCTTCAAGTTTCACTAAAGGATGTGGACTTCATTAGTCTGACAACCGACTTATGGACTAGCAACCAGACCATATCATATATGTGTGTAGTTGCACACTTTATAGATAAGGATTGGAAGATGCAAACACGTGTTCTTTCTTTCATATATTTGGATCCTCCTCACTCCAGGCATGTGATTTCAGATGCTATCTATGAGTGTGTGACTGAATGGAAGATAGAGAAGAAAATTATATCCATCACACTAGACAATGCTTCAAACAATGATGTTGCGGTCAGAGGTTTGAAGGCAAAGTTTGCTGTTCGGAGAGGTATATACTTGCTGTTTTTGTTGTACATATGTTCATATACTTGCTGTTTTGGTTGAATATATGGTCATATTCTTGCTGTTTTTGTAGTACATATGCTTTGTTTGTCCATCACACTAGACAATGCTTCAAATATATGGTTATATGCTTGTTGTTTTTGTTGTACATATGTTCATATACTTGCTGTTTTGGTTGAATATATGGTCATATTCTTGTTGTTTTTGTAGTACATATGCTTTGTTTGTCCAAATAATGATATTTTGGTTTAACACATGCTCATATGTGTGCTGTTTTGGTTGAATATATTGTCATATGCTTGTTGGAAATATGCCCAAGAGGCAATAATAAAAGCATTATTATTATATTTCCTTGTTCATGATAATTGTCTTTATTCATGCTATAATTGTGTTATCCGAAAATTGTAATACATGTGTGAATAACAGACACCAACATGTCCCTAGTAAGCCTCTAGTTGACTAGCTCGTTGATCAACAGATAGTCATGGTTTCCTGACTATGGACATTGGATGTCATTGATAACGAGATCACATCATTAGGAGAATGATGTGATGGACAAGACCCAATCCTAAACATAGCTTAAAGATCGTATAGTTTGTTTGCTAGAGTTTTCCAATGTCAAGTATCTTTTCCTTAGACCATGAGATCGTGCAACTCCCGGATACCGTAGGAGTGCTTTGGGTATACCAAACGTCACAACGTAACTGGGTGACTATAAAGGTAGACTACGGGTATCTATGAAAGTGTCTCTTGGGTTAACACGGATCAAGACTGGGATTTGTCACTCTGTATAATGGAGAGGTATCATTGGGCCCACTCGGTAATGCATCATCATAATGAGCTCAAAGTGACCAAGTGTCTGGTCACGGGATCATGCATTACAGTACGAGTAAAGTGACTTGCCGGTAACGAGATTGAACGAGGTATTGGGATACCGACGATCGGATCTCGGGCAAGTAACATACCGATTGACAAAGGGGACTGTATACGGGGTTGCTTGAATCCTCGACATCGTGGTTCATCCGATGAGATCATCGTGGAGTATGTGGGAACCAACATGGGTATCCAGATCCCACTGTTGGTTATTGACCGGAGAGTCGTCTCGGTCATGTCTACATATCTCCCGAACCCGTAGGGTCTACACACTTAAGGTTCGGTGACACTAGGGTTGTAGGGATATGTATATGCAGTAACCCGAATGTTGTTCGGAGTCCCGGATGAGATCCCCGACGTCACGAGGAGTTCCGGAATGGTCCGGAGGTAAAGAATTATATATAGAAAGTGTTGTTTCAGCCATCGGGACAAGTTTCGGGGTCACCGGTATTGTACCGGGACCACCGGAAGGGTCCCGGGGGTCCACCGGGTGGGTCCACTTGCCCCGGGGGCCACATGGGCTGTGAGGGGGTGCGCCTTGGCCTACATGGGCCAAGGGCACGGGCCCCAAGGGGCCCATGCGCCTAGGGTTTCCAAAGGGGAAGAGTCCCACAAGTGGAAGGCACCCCTAGGTGCCTTGGGGGGAGGGAAACCTCCCTTGGCGGCCGCCCCCCTAGGAGATTGGATCTCCTAGGGCCGGTGCCCCCCCCCTCTAGGCCCTCCTATATATAGTGGGGGAAGGAGGGCTTTTTCATCCATGCCTTTGGTTGCCTCCTTCTCCCTCTCCAACACCTCCTCCTCCATAGCGCTTGGCGAAGCCCTGACGGAGTACTGCAGCTCCATCACCACCACGCCATCGTGCTGCTGCTGGAGCCATCTTCCTCAACCTCTCCTTCCCTCTTGCTGGATCAAGAAGAAGGAGACGTTACGCTGACCGTACGTGTGTTGAACGCGGAGGTGCCGTCCGTTCGGTGCTAGGATCTCCGGTGATTTGGATCACGTCATGTTCGACTACCTCATCCCCGTTCTTTGAACGCTTCCGCTCGCGATCTACAAAGGTATGTAGATGCATCCGATCACTCGTTGCTAGATGAACTCATAGATGGATCTTGGTGAAACCGTAGGAAAATTTTTGTTTTCTGCAACGTTCCCCAATAGTGGCATCATGAGCTAGGTCTATGCGTAGTTCTCTTGCGCGAGTAGAACACAATTTGTTGTGGGCATAGATGTTGTCAACTTTCTTGCCGTTACTAGTCTTATCTTGCTTCAACGGTATTGTGGGATGAAGCGGCCCGGACCAACCTTACACGTACGCTTACGTGAGACCGGTTCCATCGACTAACATGCACTAGTTGCATAAGGTGGCTGGCGGGTGTCTGTCTCTCCTACTTTAGTTGGAGTGGATTCTATGAAAAGGGTCCTTATGAAGGGTAA